CGGGAGGGGGGTGCTGGGCCCCCTCCCCGGGCCGGGGTCTCTCAGCGGGGAAGCCCTGGGTGTGCAGCCACCGCCCGAGCGCACCGGGGCGGGGGGGGTTTAGTTACCGTCAGGGGGCTTATGAAGAAACCTCTCCTGTTTCTGTAGGGCCTTTCTCGCGTCTCGGGACCAAACCTCCACGGAACGGTGACGGAGCAGGGGGGGCAGCGGGGAGGGGGTTTGGCGGCGAGGAACACAGCGGCGAGCGGGTACACATTCCCCCAGAAAAATAAAGTTGTGTTTTTTGTTTTTTTTTTCTTTTCCCCTTTAGGTTCCGGCCCTTTGTGCCACACATCCCCTTTGATTTCTATGTCGTGAGTAACCCTCTCCCACGGAGCTGTTTGCAGGCAACAGCTGCGGGACTTTTCCGTGTTTAAAGATGCTGTCTCAAAAGCCTCATTTGCTGACTTTGATGGTTTAACTTCTTTTAGCTTAGCCGGAGTAACGGAGCTCACTGAAAACACTGTTGGTTCAGTAACTAACCTGCAATCTTCTGTCTGTTGTTTGGAGTACTTGTGTCACCCGGGATGACTGGGATGCAGTTGAGTAGTAATCACAACAAATAAACGCCTCGGTTGAGGTTTTTCTGCTTTCTAAGGCACCTCGCTCACCCAGAGCCCCAGTTCTGTCAGCTCCCTGTAACACCAACCTGGTGGGTTACTCCGATAGCTGTCGCTCACCGCTCAGATGTTCTCCAGGCTCTTTTGCCACGTTGGTCCTCCCAAGGACCACACATTTCCCATCTTTTAATAGGGGGAAATAATTTTCTCCTCCTGCCAAGCATCTGCCCTTCACAGACATCTGACTTCCAAGGCAAACAGGTTCACCTCCTCTCGCCTTCCAGGCCTTGTGGCCGTCAATCCCGTCAGAGCAACCAAAAAGCTCCGGCCATCTGCAAACAAGGGGTGTTATTCTTAAGGGACCGTCATATAGTTGATAAAAAGCCTCTTGATGGACCCATTCCTAACGAGATCTGCCCCTTCTCGCACCCCATGGGTGCACGGGCACGCTGGCAGCTCTGAAGATGCAGAGCGTACGGGCAGGACAGGCAGCTGCTCTCCCTTCCTTAGGATAACTTCAAAGTGAAATTATAAAAGCAACGAGTGAAAAGCAGGATGGGGAAATCACAAAGGAGACGAGTGCTGGAGAATAAAAAAAAAAAAACCCAAACCCAAATGTAAATTTTGCTGATGAGTGGGTTGAACCAAAGTCTTTCTTTTCTCGGGCGTTGCAGTCTGATATCTGATCCCGTTTCAGTGCGAAATGGCTTTCCCCCGCGTAAAACCTGCCGCCGATGAGACCGCCTTCAGCGAAGCCTTGCTGAAGAGAAACCAGGATCTTGCTCCGACTGCTGCTGAACAGGTTTTGTGCTGAAAATTGCCTTAAATTCTTTGGCTGGATGTTAGAGGACGCAAAAGCAGACAGTACAGCCAGGAGTAGTCATTGTTAACCTAAAAAGTAATTTATTTCTCTCTGAAATAAGCCCTGCAGTAGAAATACGTGTGGAATTTCCAGGACGGTGTTTCTTTTATCTATTTATCATAGATCTCGCATCAGGGCTGTCTGCGTCTGTGCAAGATCAGATATTTCAATAGTTCAAGTCATATTGGACGACTGACTGGTAACACAACCCCTTCTCCGTTTCCTTTTCAGGCTTCCATTCTTTCTCTGGTGACCAAAATAAACAACGTGATCGACAACTTAATTGTAGCACCAGGAACGTTCGAAGTGGTGAGTCCAAAGGTTTGGGGGGGGAAAAACAAGCTACGCAAGGAGATGCTTTGGTATGAGGGATGCCGGTGTTCTAGCTACCAAACCTGGCCCCCAGTGGGTTAAAGGTTCATGCCAACTGCCAGAAACGTAGCACGTGCGTTAAATTCGCTCATTTTTGCTTTGTTTTTTCAAACAGCAAATTGAGGAGGTTCGCCAAGTGGGTTCCTACAAGAAGGGCACCATGACGACGGGGCACAACGTGGCCGATCTGGTTGTGATTCTGAAAATCTTACCCACCCGTGAGTAACCGGCTGCGTGGCTGCCGACAGAAGCGCGGTGCTGGGCCCTGCTCTGACCACCTCTCCTGCTTCTCCCTAGTGGAAGCTGTGGCAGCCTTGGGAAACAAAGTCGTGGAAAGCCTGAGAGCGCAGGACCCCAGCGAAGGTGAGACGCTCGTACGGGGTTGAGGAGGACGTGGGCTGATGCGAGGCAGTTTCCCCTTGAGCTGGGGTTTGTCTGATGGGGATGGTGCCCAGGCTGGTGTGCCACTGCCGAGATCCGTGGATGCTGCTTAAAGTCGTCCGGCCCCTCCATGAGGAATTCTTGTTCTTTCTGCCCAGTCCTGACCATGCTGACCAACGAGACCGGCTTTGAGATCAGCTCAGCCGACGCGACGGTGAAGATCCTTATCACCACGGTGCCGCCCAATCTCCGCAAGCTGGACCCCGAACTACACCGTAAGAGCTCAGCCCTGCCTTGCATGTGAACCTTCACCAGGACAGAGGGGGAGCCAGCTGCCTCCCCACACCTACTCACCTTTTGGGTGAAAACCCAGGCATTTCTGCTGCTTTTTTCAGTGGACATCAAAGTGCTGCAGAGCGCCCTGGCTGCCATCAGACACGCTCGCTGGTTTGAGGAGAACGCTTCCCAGTCCACGTGAGTTTGGCCTCAAAACAGGAACTGGAGCTCTGAGGCCTGCTTGAAATAATCATTACAGAGAAGAGGGT